ATGTATATGGATATGTACATATGTATGCATACTGAGCGCAGTCTGCCACAGTCGTGGCGAAAATGTTGTCACCAGCTCATATCGTGGAGTACAAGTACAGCAATGTTTCGTTTTGAACAATCACTTGCTTATTTCAAGAATAATAGTACCACCACTGTGCCTTTGACTTTGTGCGCATTATATGGATGTACATGCAGTCGCTGATGCAATATTGAGAAGGCTCGCATAAGCACTATTAGTAAGAGAATATTTTATGTACACATGTACATACATATATGTATGTATGTATGTATGTGTGTAGATATCTAGCCTCATATCTATAAACATAGAAATTTGCAGAGACAGGGTAATGGAATTTTGTTTTTCTTTGCTGGAGATAACATTTTCGCCCTAATTAACGGCAAAAACAAAAGATTTCGATGACGTGTTTCATTGTAAATTCTAACAGATTGCAAGTCAGGGGTGTGATAGTACTATATGTGTGGGTATATCATTGAAACAGACTGCGTATTATTTTGGTTGATTCAGACATACGTACATACTTATGGACGAGTGTGTCTGTGTGTATGTTCCCATCAAACGCCACACGCACACACGAATTGATATTTTAAGGTCACAATGCGACGAGTGGCCCTGACTCTGATCTTCTGTGTGCTCACGCGAAGACGCAGTTTATTATTTTACTCGGTATGCAGAAAACATATCCAAACATGCTTATACATACATACATACATATGTGTGTAGATATATATTTATGTATTCTTTTACATGGCAACATATAAGTACTTTTGTAAATATATACGTGTAGCACCTTGAAAAATATATATACCCACATGTATGGGTATTTTTCAAGGTGTTTCAATAATTATCGTCGCCCGTTTTCCGTATTTTCGTTTAACAATTCACTTCGAAACGGGGAGAGAGAGAGGCAATAATACTCGCTCATCGCTCGCTTCTCTCTCTCTCTCTTTGTCTTGGACTCTCTTCTTGAAGACGCTCTTTGGCCGCTCACGGCACAAAAACCTTTTCCAGGCGGACGAGGTCATTTTGTTGTAACTTCAAGCACTGTAAGTGGGGGGAGAGAAGCGAGCGTTTCCGAAGCTAGTTTTTGCTCAGGGTCAGTCTGTGTGCTCTTTCCATGCTCTATACTGGATACACACGTGCTGCAGACCTTCGTTTGTTACTTTTTGGACGATTTTTCTCCCAGTATCCCTCTCATTTAATCATTTTCACAGGGTATTACATTGTTCGCCAGGAAGTGGCAACCCAGGATATATATTTCCGATGTGTTCAAGAACCGACAAGATCAGATTACTATGTATTGGGGCGATGGCAGTCGGATAACTAAATCATAATAGGAAAAATTGATATGCAAGGGTATCAAGATATGTCAAGCTTGTCTTTCCTCTTTGTTTTTTTTTTTGCATTCAAAAGTGGGCCAATGTCAATGATGGCCGAGCCGAGTCGAGCCGAGCCGAGGCAGTCGTTCATGGGTGTCTGGGGGTCGCGAGCTTCGCTTTCGTCATCGACTGCGCTCTTGGCCAAATTCGACTCGACTTGACTCGACCGGGGGCTGGCTTGCTGCCTTTCGACTTGTCAACGGCGTCGGCGTCGCCGATCGATTTGAGTCTTTTTCGTCATTGCGCGGGCCTCACAAAACCCAAAATCAAATCGAAGTTACGCAACGTAATGAGATTGCACATAATGTAGTGTAGATACGTTACGGAAGAATGTAGAGCTAGTGGGTTTTAGTTTTAGTTTCGTTCAGTAAATGTTGGTAAAGCATTCGTAACTTTGCTTTTATTTATGTATTTTCAATTAAATAAAACGTCAAATTTTCTCTACATTGCAGAACGAAACTGCAGTACGAATCGTTGGAGGGCTCAATGATACTCGATGGCGAAGACGACACACTGAGTGATAAGATCGGCTGCCCTTTATATACAGCACCGGAGCTATTGTGTCCCCAGCCGACGTATAAGGGAAAACCAGCGGACATGTGGTCACTTGGCGTGATTCTCTACACGATGCTCGTCGGGCAGTATCCATTTTACGAGAAGGCCAACTGCAACCTCATCACTGTGATCCGTCACGGCAACGTGCAGATACCCACCTCGCTCTCCAAGTCGGTGCGATGGCTCCTGCTGTCTCTGCTACGAAAGGACTACATGGAACGAATGACCGCCACCCACATCTTCCTGACACCGTGGCTGCGGGAGCAGCGTCCGTTTCATCTCTATCTGCCCGTCAATGTGGAAGTGGCCGAGGACTGGGACGAAGCGGGGAACAGCGATGATGGCGCAGCAGTCATCGACGAGGATGAAGGCGGGATCTGTCCCCTGGGGGATAAAGACGAGTATGAGGATATCGGCGTAGAGCCACTCGACTATACGCGCAGCACACTGCAAATGGCCCAAGCCAATGCATTGAGTGTGGACGTGGAAATGGGCTGATCAACGCACCGGAAGTCCCCCCACGGGTTGCTTTCATGGTAACGCTTGGAAGCAGCATAAGCTGCTTCTCCATTCAGTTGCAGCTGAGGAAATATAATCTTACTGAGCCTCGCCGGATGGTGGCATGGCTATGCAATTGTGGCTATGGGTTGCTCCCACACTATGCCGGTCCGGTTCGGGGCGCGCCGAAACTGAATGCGTTCCACATCTTCCTGCAGGTGGTACTGCCAAAAAAGACTTAAAGCCTCGCTTAAACTCTCTCAGACACAAGAACTCACTGCCTTCCAATAAAAACGAGGACGGACTTTCGTTTATGAATACGTTCTTCGTACGCTCTCACCTTTGCAACCGATTCTTCCTAAAAAAAAACCAACTTATGTACAATATAAACATTATAATTTTTTTGTAAACTGTTGATCTTATCAAAAGACAGTCGCCCTCATTTATTTTGTGGGCTCTAAAACCATTAGTTTCCCTGTTAATAGTGCAACGAATGCAAATTGTTATTTATTATATAATTATTTTCTGTATTTCGCTTGGTCTACTACCTACTATTAGAAATCTTGTAAGAGAAAATCGTGAAACCTAATAATAATACATTAAAATTTGATCTCACCAAGAACCGAACTGACTGCACATCTATCTACCTCTATGTATATATTTCCCTTGGAGGCACCAACTTATGAGCCTCGGGCGTTATATAGCAATGGAAGTTTATTTCGACTGAAGCTTATCTTTCATTCTGTATGAACACGTGGTACGTGGAGGCTAACTATAGTTAGCTAATAACTCTTATGGAAGTGTAAGCATTTGTAACACCAACAAAGTTCAAGTTTATTTCCCTACAATCGATATTAAAAATTCCATCAGATCGGATCCCAAGTAGATGGAAGATGAATTCCACCTACCTAAGACATTTAACTAGCCGAAATTCAACTTGCTAAATCTCGAGCTATATAAGTTAATTTGTACGAGTAATTCTTGAGCTCTCAAATTGATTCTGCATTGGGAAGGTATTTGCAAGTTAAAGGGGAAAGATTGCTTGTATTTATCATTATGGCGAACGTGACTTTCTGAGCACAATGCTTACTTTTTGCCATGCAATATCAAACAAACTGACGCTACTGGGGCTAACTGATATTATGAACGGCAGGCAGGGTATTTTCCTATCAACAAGATTCCCCACCACCACTGTCTTCCGACATGCCGACGTGACGATCGGCTTCGCATGTACATATGTGTGTGCCGACCTACCTGTGATCGAGCACAGCACCTTCATTCGTCGTCAGATTATGAAATTACCGACCGAATGAGAATTGCCGAGCTTACTGCGCAAAAAACGCAAAAACTGCTGACAGCGACGTCACCTTCGCACATTGTGACTCTCAAAGTCTGGAGCTCAATGCCTGTTCTACGATATCAGTTATAGGTTCCAGAATGTTCAGATGATGTTAACAGAATGCTATAGAACTGGGCAAACTTTGTAACGAGTACCAGAAAGTTGATGTCAGTGAAATTAAAACCAGTGTAATAAAAAAACAAAATTCACTTTTAAAGTTCTAACACTTAAGTGTCGTTACAACTATAAAATAGACTAGAACCATGTCAACTACTTTCCCTGACCCCAACCTTTAATTTCAAAGCTGTTCCACTTATATAGTTTCTTTCGTTACCGTTCTGTAGCTTTCCAATTTCTACACTGCTCCAATGCGGTTGACGATCGGAATTGCTTCTTTCTACCTTTCATTTCATACTCGTATGTACATCCAATTACTCTTTTACTCGTAGTGGGTATACAAACCAATTAATTACGTTAAGTACATATATTCATTCGGAACTAAAGTAAGAATCTTGAACGATATACTTTCTAGACAGATCAAACATTTTCCACGACATTCTAAGTCAATCAAATGTTCCCTTCAGGTAAGGTATTTAGCACAAGTATTTTGGCGGAGACTCGTGACTAATTGCGGAAACTGTGCACTAAATAACTGCAAACTGTACGCATAGAGACGTAATATGTACAATATATATACATGTATATATGTATATAAATATATGCGACCACTGTCCCCAAAACTTTCAGTTCCTCATTATTTATTTTTACAGCCGGCTTACATCGACAGATCAGATGCAAATCTCTTGCGTGTCGTTCTGAATATAGTTTTATTTTATTAATAAGGGCGACTACTTGAATATGTGAATATATGATTTTTTATTTAGATTTCTCTACAGAAGCCCGAGCAGAATTTCGCAAATTTCTGAGGACTCTTCTGTCAAATAAAGTGTTATGCTACATTAGTCTGCCTACAAAATCCGATTGCTCCATTCTTTTACAGTCCCTGAGAATTAACCATTATGTACTCTTTAATTTCAAATTACCATTGCTGATTTCAAAACATGCAGCGAGTCTTTCAAGAAATAAAACATATTTTGGTTTGTATGTTGGCGGTCTTTTTTGAAAATGTTTGAAAATAAGTAGGTATATTTCGGTATATTTCTGAGGGTTAGACTGGTATATCTGACCGATCGATAAATCAGCGGTCACACTAAACGTGATTTTTATAAATAAATAAATAAAAAAAAGTTATTTCATAAATGTTCCAAGTGTCGCCCTTAAAATTAAATTAAAACTAATAAATGTTCCATCGAAATTACAATGAAGATTACAGATCTAAACATAGACTGTCTTCTGGTGATTTTCAAGTATTGCTCCGAAAGCGAGCTGATGTCCTTGGGCAAGGCTAACCAGCACTTGGGCAGGATTATAGATGCCAACATATTTTACCCACTCACGAGGGACTTACTTTTATGCGGCCATAGGAACGAACCTTGTGTTGAAAAAAGGTCGGTCTGAATGGTTAATTATGGATGTGGAGGCGAAGGCATTGTATGTTAACAGCATATTTTATCATCGTTCAGAAACAAAACACGTCTTACTTATCATGAGAGGCTTCAAGTATCGAGAAATTGGCTGAGCGGGACCTACCGGGAACGTCCCTACTATCACCATGCGCATCTGTTCCCAACGAAGTTGTTCCTCGAAAAGGACGCCTTGTACGTCACACATGACAGCTATTTACGCAAATACCGGCGACCTGCTACGGAGGCCCTGCCGCGATTGTTTGATGAAGAAATCACCACTCCCACGAGGAGCGACATATCGGATTTTGTAAAGAAGCAAGACACACTGTTTGCGGGTCGCGTCTGTGGCGCGTGCTTTCTGTGGGATGCGAACGGTATTACCGAACAGCAAATGCATCAGCCCAACGAATACCTATACTCCGTCGACTTCATAAATGATGTCTATGTCACCAGCACCGATGCATGCTGCAAGGTGTGGCAGCGTTCCCAAGAGTTTGGACTCACGCACTTTGATCTGGCCGTGAAGCTGCAGCATTCATTCAAGTCTCTAAAGTTGAGTGCTAATGGGGAATGGCTCTACGGAGGCCTCTACACAGACAAGGGTCGGCGGGCATTGCGAGCCATCCACGTGGAGAGGTAGCTATACACTTGAAGCATTATCATTTCGCAATAATGCTAACCAGATTTGTTTCTACAGTGGCGAGGAGGTGGTACACAACTCAAACACAATTTCCATATATGATCTGAAAATAAAGGATGAGCACGTTTTGTTCACGGCCAATTTCGATACGACATTCAGAATGTTTGATCGTCGCATCGATCGAGATGTTGCCATTTGGGAGGATCCGTTCGACTCTTCGTTCTACTGTCTCGAGTACGATGGCCTGTACGCCGTACTCTGCGGCACCAACCGTCACGCCCGCGTCAATCTCTACGACATTCGAATGCCAAAATACGTGCAGTTGTTCTTTCCCGGGCGAACGCGCCAGCAGAACTGTCAGTCGCCCGTTTACAGTCTAGCCTGTGATAGCCAATATCTGTTTGTGGCCACGGACCACAATCTGCGAGTGTTCGACTTCAAAGCCAACTGCGGTGTCCGCAGGGACTACAGCCGCATTTATGATTTTAATCGCTAACAAAACCTTATTTTTTTAATTAGTAGTTGAATTCATATTAAGAAATTATCTATGGCCAAAATCTGTAAAGCAGAATAAAAAGGATGAAAAGATCAATCAGGGTTCCGCAGACGTATGCACTGGATATGCAGTTCATCTGCATCGAATCCATTAAGCCATCCTATATAACTTCAAAGTATGCCATGCCATGTAAAAGCGAGAGAAAATATAACATACAGACATCAATACACATCTATATTATTATCAAAAGGAGTTCTGGCAGTTTGACCATTGATCTAATTGCTTGATAAAGTAGAGCAACCATAACACTGCTGGGTAAAGGTGGAAACCATCCGGCGACACAGATCTCCTTTCGCAAAATGCAGGGCATTTACATAGAATGTTTTCCAATGTTTCCTGCTCCATTTCACAGAATCCACAGGTGTCTATCTCTATTAGTTTCAATTCTTGTGGTGATATCTCAGTATTAGGTTTCTGTTAAAACAAATTTTATTGACCTGCCGACAAATTGGAACCACAAAACTTAATTGCTAAATTATAAACTTTAAAACATCCACTTAAAAAACATGTACACAAAAGTTATGATAGAAACTTATAAGTATGCATGAATATCGTATCGTAAAGGCTTAATTTAGACATATGTACCTTGATGCATGTATGTAATACGTGATGTACATGAGTCTGTACGTTGCGCGCGAGACTTTGACTTTCAAATTGCAATTTCCTGGTCAGGTTGTGTTTGTATTTTTAATACATTTCCGTGAGCTAAAATCTATCACTGTAGAAAATTAAACTAAAACTACCAGAAATCGTTGTAACGTACAAATAACTCGTAACTCGTATCTTACAATTTTATGCTAGTAAAATTCACTTATGTAAAAACACATACATACATATGTCAAATCGGAAAGGAAAGTGGAAGTTCGGCTCAGCTTGGGGGTTGGGGTGAGCGGGCCAAAATTCGTCGTGTTTTTTTTTTTTTTTAGCAGGCACTTTATCTATTCTGTAATTTCATGCATTTACAACTGGCGGCAACCTCTCTCGATGTATAAACTTAAGCCGAAAAAGAAATTATGTTGAATACCGAGATAATAATCAGCAAGGGATCGATCCATTTTCCATTGCCCAAGTATTCTTAGGTCTACTGTACACTGAGGAACATGGTGCTACAGCGACTACCTAGTAGAGTGTGTTGTTGCTGGCGAAAGCGGCGGTGTTTTCTCTGACGGCTTATCCGCTGTGGAAGGGATCGGCGATTCTGCTGCACTCGCACTGGCATCTGAGGCTGTGTGCTCAGTGCTTTGCGGATGGTCAAGGCCTTCATTTAGAGCAGCTGCTAGCTCGCCATTGAACTGCAGCAGACATCCCAGGGCACCAAAATATCCCTCATGCTCCAGGAAGAGTCCCTTCATTGTGCCATTCGACCAGAACTCCATAGCGTACGCCAGCAGCTTCATTGATATGGGGTTTACACGTAGAAAGTTACCCACAAACACCACCTAAAAGATGTATAAAGTTAGTATCAAGTGTGATGCCAATCTAATCCAATCTGTTAATATCTAACCCTGTCAATCTTCTCATTCAGAGCACACATCCGTGCTATGGAACCAATATTGTTGGTTATAGTGACTAGTGTGGCATTGGCCAGGTCTTCACGGGACACGGAAACCCGCTTGTCGTCAATGTGCATTTGGCCAAAGCTGCAAATAAACGTATCGGATTATGTACAACTGGCTGTAAAGAGAAGTTCGGATTTTTATCGTGTGTTACCTCGATGCCACCAAGTCTCCGGGCAGACCAAAGCGATTGTAGTCGCCGCCATAAATGTCCTTTACCAGCTTGTCCACCTTCCTGTTGTCGCCCTTGGTGGCCAGCTGTATAGCTTCCTCAAAGGTTGTGCAGCCGGTAAGCAAACAGCATAGACCCAGGAATGTGCCGCCGCCCAAGCTGCATAGAAATAGAAGCCAATGTATTAGCAAAGGACACTTTTCCTCACTAGGACATTTACCAACCTTGTGCCTGAGATGCGCTTGTAGTTGTCGGGTCCGTAGACAGCCAGAATGGAGACACCGGAGCCCACATTCACCAATATGAATGGAAATGGTTGCGAAAAATTGAATGCCCGCTTCTCGCTTTTGCTGCAAGAAAGAGAATCGTCGAAGCTGCATAAGTATATAGTAAAACATTTACATATTCTGATGCTGTATTTACTTACATTATGTCCCGTGCATGTTCGTAGTAGTAGCATTCGGTGCGATTGTGCAGATCGGCAAAGAGTATTCCTTTGATGAGCGTATCGAGTTCGTCAAATTTGGCCAGCTTCATGTTGACTTGATCGCGAAAATCCTTCTCGAATTTGAAAGCTCCTCCGCCAGTGGCGCACACAGTCGTCACCAGTTCGGCCATGCCTTTTTGCTTGGCCAGGGACAGAAAGTTGCCCATATCTGTGGTCTGAAACCTAATGAAATGCAGGGATCCACGTCTTTTACGTATCTCCACATTGTCCATCTGAAATGAGGGATGATTGAAGTAAGAATTAATCATTTATAAGAGTTAATTTATTATTTAAAGAATCTTTGTACCGTGTCAACGGAGTCTATGACAATGCAAGACTTTTGTTCGTCGTACGTCACAGTGCGTTGTGCAAGATGCTCTTGACTGGATCATTCCAAGTACTATTACGTATGAGGTCAGTTTTTCGGCCAGGAACACGAGCGTACGTAAGCACAAGCTTCATAAATATGCCAATAGACTGACGACTCGACGGGCGCCCCATTAAAAAAACAACAGCCACAAGTGCAAAAGTCAACGATCGCGCCATGTAAGCTTTTGTCGTCAAAGCCCCTTCCCTTCCTATCCCTTCCTACAGTGCGAGTCGGTATACAATTATATGTATGTATCCGTGGATTTGCTACTTATTCAGGCACATTTGGCACCCCACTACGACTGCCCGCCCTATTGGTTAGTACTTAGTTTTGTCAGGCAGTAAGCGTGCGCATCTGTGATTTGAAATCCAGTAGAAGGGTTACTCTTTTGAGCTTAAATATCCCTCATCAGCTATAGGGGATTCACCCGAATCTTTGTGTAAAGACGCACGCCCTAAGCGTGCTAGTGCGATGATGTTCAAACGGAAAGCTTAGACAGAGACAGACAAACGTACTACAGATGAAATCATCAGACGACGACCCATTCCGACCTGCACAAGATGACTTGTTGACACTAGACGCTCAAATATCGCCTCTTGATCACATTTTAGATGATAATGAATGGCCTGCACACGCGCTTCTTCCACATTTCGTTATAAAAGGCACACCCATTCCCATTCCCATCGATTCCATCCAGTTTGAATGATGAAATGCAACGAATGTCATCAACCAAAAATGCTTGGCTCCAAAGGTGATAAAAGTATGGTACATACGTATATGAGTGCCGTGCCCTTGAATCATTGACTCTGAAACTCTGTCTCTGTCTGCTCGTGTGTGCGTCGTGATCATCTTACCTGCAAGTGCGTATCGCGGTGTCCGGTTTTGCCATATGCTGAGTTTTTTGTTAAATAGCGTCGTATATTCCGTAAAATTCCCGCCTCGCGATCCTGTTCATCTGGCGTTATATCCTTGGGCTCAAAGTACACCAATTTTGTGAGGGTGCCGCCAATGTCCATGCCAAACCATGGCATTGCTGAAATTATTGAGGAGAAACCAGTTAATATTTAGAAATCGATCAATATGGCATACATATTGGCTAATACTAAAGTTTGACCTTCAGCTACATTTCCTCTATAAAGCGGAGAAATCTTTGCTGTGCTGTGATGTGAGTGGATGTGATGTGGGTTTACCTATGAGAAGTTTTCGTCTCCCAATTGCCCCTCTATGAACATGATAGAGGATACCGCTGCGTTGTACCAAGTTCATATGTCTCAATAGCAAATCCCATTCCAGTTAATAATATTTTTCGCTATATCTTTTACCTATATATTAACGAGAACTGTGTATCATAGCAGATATTGCACAAAATTCATTAAATTACGACTGTCAAATTTTGATATTTGCTTCAAATATATTTTTCCAGAGTTGCATTCATTCCTATCATTTAAAAACGGAGAATTTCACACAACAAAAATGTATTCTAAAATTTAAACTTGCTCTCAACTGATGCCACATGAAGCGGCATATTAATGCCAAGAAGCCAAACACAAATTACATATCTTGTGCATGACGGCACACATTTATGCTAGCATTTCGTTTCGAAGCAATTAATTTGATTGCAGTGGAATTAGACGCAATAATTATACTTGCAATATCGAAAACACCTTCAAGAGGCTCGGGCAAAGCCAAGCAACTAGTTTCCAAAACATTACAAGAGAAAAAATAGAAAAGAAATCGAACTTCAAACTGCTGGCTAAATGAATGTTTGAAGCGGTTCATGTTCATTGTGTCAAGATCGAAGTGGCCGCAAAACTATGTCACACACAAACAAACGAAACAAACATACACATATATCTATGTATCTGTAGCTGGGTGTATCTTTGTGTTGCACGCACCGCTTTGGATGATTAGATCAAAGATCGATGTAAAATGTAGCGCCTCCGGCATGATGTAACGCCTTTTTGTATTATTATTATGGACGGAATGCGCGAGTGTATGCAAATAGCGCGACTGTATTCCGCAGTTGTGGTACGACGGTACGAGAGTGAGAGGCGTAGAACGCGCTGCACATAACACGGAACTTGTAATCACAGCTAACACGTTTCGTTTACGTTTATTTGGTTCCACCCAATTTTCATATACATATGTATGTACTATATGTATATATAAACAGGCAAGTGCGTATTTATGTACAGATATAGTGTGTAATCGTATAGGTGAGGCGATTAGAGCGGGCGACCATTAACCGGAAACATTTTACTCTCACACAACCAGGCAACAGGGCACGACGCGTCGATGGCTTCCAACTGACGACTGAGACTGACGGATTATATATTAGCCGTCAAAAGCTATTGAATATTGCCAACAATTGGGTAAATCGAATCGAATCGAAACATGGGCGCCCCCCAAAAGGGCGTGTCAGCGAGTAAATACACCGTTTCTTATCTGCACTTTGCTCGCGTCCATTGGTTATCGGCGGGTTCGAATAAATGTCTAAAACGACCAGACCAAGTACGACTGTACGATTATTTGACCACTCAATGAGACAGTGATGTTATGTACGCGCGAGTGCGGGTATTTTATTTTTTGACTACAATACTAGTGTATGTGCCTAACGATCATTACATATCGATCAGAGTTCAAGCGATTGCATATAATAAAACAATATCACAAAATATGACCAATTTAGTACTACAATATACATATATGTACATACATATGGTATATGTAGAAGTTGGTATCCAGAAGTGAGAATAAAGTTTACTTCGCTTCCATTCATAAGACATATTATTTGGCTGGGAATCTCCCACATTAATGTTGCACAGAATACAGAATCTATGAATCAAAAGTTTAGTGATAATTCAGTATCTCTATCAGACCCAGACATTTAAAAAATTTCCTATCCGTTTTGTGTGTAATTTCTCTCTGTATTAATCGCTACGAATTACTTCCTTGTATTATTCCTAGTGGAAACTTACACATTAAGTCATCTACAGGAGACGCGGCAGGGCTGGCGGCTATGCTGGCGGCAGTAGACAACATGAAATCGGAGGAACTCTGACACTGGCTTATTTGTTGTTTTTGTTGTTGTGGTTCAAACACTGAAGGAGATACCGCATCCATCTCCTTCGACGACTCATTATTTAAGGTGGAAAAGTCCTTGGAGCCGCGGCCCATAGCCTCACGCCATGCAGTGCGCCATGAGTTTCGTTTTGTTGAGATCACAGGAGAAGTACTACTGGGTGGATGTGCGGCGGTGGGTGCCAGCGAGGCGCTTGTGGATTTCTTATCGTTATGCAATTTGAATATTTTCAAATTGAATGAATATTTTGAGTCGCGCGTCGGAACTTTCATTTTTGTGCTGATTTTCTCTAAAAAGAGTAGTCGTAGTACACAAAACTAATATCACAGGCTTTGGTTAAAGCAAACAATTGCCGCTTATTTACAACGAACCGAACGTAATGTAAAGCTTCAGATTTGAACAAAATCTCATTTAAATTTCCTTTGGATCTGTGGAGAGACTCTCTAGAGTCTCGTCTTTATTTGGGTTTGTGCTTTGAGAAGACGAACAGCAAAGCCAACGACGGAGATCGCGCGATCCGATCCGTAGACCGTTCGAAAACAGGCATGAAACGCGTTTGAATGAAATTTTATTGTCACTTTGCACGAGCCGAGCACTCTACGACGACGACAACAGCGGCAACGGCAACGCCGAAAGTAAATCAGCGCCAGGCCAGGCCAGCGCTTGTGTCGACGTCACCACTGCTTTCGCATATGTATAAGCGCTTCTTGTACATACGTATGTATGTACGTACATATACGTTTAACCGTATTAATGAGCGGAGACATCGTCGAGTCGAAATTAACTTAAACATTACGAAAAAACACATTTAAAACAAATCCAAAGCAACAACGACCTAGCATGAACCCTTGCGAGGGTTCGACGAGGCGTGATCGAGCTTAGCATTTTCGTGTGATATATGTATGTATACCTCTCTGTCCATAGATGATTAGGTGCCCAAAGTCATGCATCTGTTGGATGCTAGAGTGGATGCAAGTCTTGTTTCATTCATGGTCAGACCTCGCCTCGCTCTTTTCACAGCACTCAGCCACATCATGATAAGCGGTCTGGGGCGGTACAAAAGAGCATTCGCAGACAAGACTGATGAAAGTCCATGCGAAAGTTCATATGTTCATAGTCCCAAAATCAGACTGTAATTACACATATAATGATAATAGATTCGACCTTTACATGCTGCCACACGCAGGGTGCCACTGATCACCTTCGATAAATCCCCTTCCACACATAGATTAAGACATGCAGAACATGAAACAAGAAAGTTTGTGTAGCCATTTCCAATGGAGAAAAGACTTACCTTTCGCCAAATGGTAGCTTAGGGATATTGGATCATCTTCTATCATTGTGATATTCAATATTCAATTGGCGTAAGACAACGGATCGCACACAAATGCCTCCCTAATCTTTTTGCAAATGTTTGCAGTAATGGCAGATACCAGCGATGATCTTATCGGGGACAGAGTTTTGTGGCAAAAACAAACTCAGAGCATGAAATGATTGTGCTGGGCGGTGCTGGCTGGGACGTGACCGTGGCCGTGCAGTTCTACATACATATGTATGTATGTGGCACGATTGAGCTGGAAATTGATGCTGCACGTATCCTTGTGCAAAAGATGATGTATCGTTGTTGTCCAATGCGTTCGGAGAGTGGACCCGAGTGCTGGTCTATTGAATTGACAGGATTAGCCTACACTTATTCCACGGTCTCACGATAAAATCTTCAAAACAATATCTCGAGAGAAGTTATTTATTAATTCTTTAATTCAGCGAATCAGCTGTTGCGGGTGCTGTATATCGATATCGAAAAACGGTAGTGCTGTTAAGTGATGTACAGATTTACATAAAATATGGGGTATTCCATAACGGCTATTTCGAAAGTTCAAAATGTGTAGAAATAACTTGTATATTAAATTTTATATAAATAAAAAATAAAATAATAATAATAAAAAAGTTTTAAAAAATGTATGTGCTTTTTTATTCTATTAAAATTTAATTTATATATTCCATAATTTGATACAAATCGAAATGGACGAATAACTGTAACCTGGAACGTGTCCTACAAATTCATGACGCGCTCATTCTTTCTAAGCTTTCCAGCACTACCAACCAGCTGGTAAAACAACCAAAACAAGATAGCACGCATTTAATTTATTTTTTCCGTAAAGTGGTCTAAAACTGAGCGCAATGGCTCGTGATGCGGAGAAGTCGGAATTTAAATTTCCTGCATGCTGGGAAGACAGCAAAGCTATGCAAATTCGGTTTGCTACGTTTCGCCCGCGTAATTTAAGCATTGAAGATTATGACACAAAGATGAAATTCTGGAAAGACCTTGTAACGCAATACAATAAGTTTTGGGGACGAGTCACGTTCAGTTTGCGGGATCTGCAACTGAATTTCATGAGAGGAGACCAACTGCCTGCCTGTCTGGACACAGTGATATCGGAGATGCACCGGCAGAAACAGATCCGACCGCGCACCGAGTACGATCAAGACCCAGCAAATACCTGGAGTGGATGGCTGGTAAACAGCCTGGTAAAACGTCCTTTATCCTGGAGCTGGCTGAAGTTAAAGCACAGCGTTGTGGGCGAGGATGTGGAGGCGACGACACTAGTGGAATGGATACATCTGGAGGTTTTAAATGTAAGAAAAACACACTATAAATTCAAGTGCTTATAATCTGTGGCTCCTTTAAACGCAGGAAATTTGCGATCTTATGGTTAAGAAGTTATTGTCCGAGAACCGAGGAAAACTGTTCCATTTTGATGCGTTCAAGTCCCTTTGTGATGTCAATCACATTCGCGTCCATACGGAGAAGGATATCTTTGCTTGCCTGATCACGCTGCATGTCCGACAACTTGTTGGGTTGGAGTTCAAAACTGAAAAGCAAGTGCGCAGCATTCATTTAATCAAAATACCACGTAAGTTCTCAGAGAATTCTCTCAGCTCTCTCTCTCCCTTTTAGAGTTGCTAATAATAATCCATATAAATCCTTAATGCAGTCAAGGAAACTGACGATCTCACCATCAATGAGACAGATCATGCCGTGCACAATCTACAGATCACACAAGCAGATCTACTGAGGCAGCTGGAGAACCTTGAGGAGGAAATCAAGGCGAACGACGAGAAGGCGCGTCAGTACATAAAGGAGAACAAGCGGCAAATGGCCAAGACGTACCTCCGCAAGAGGCATCTGGTTGAAAAGAATCATGGTAGTGTAAATGATCCCTTTCGGCCTGTTCTTTAATTCTTTCATGTGTGTGTGTTTCAGAGCGACGCAGCATTGCCCTGCACAACATTGAATCACTTCTGTCCAGCGTGGATGAGGCGCAGAACAGTGGTGTAGTGCTCGACGCATATAAAATTGGTTCCAATACGCTGCAAAAGGTTCTCTCCGACTCTGGCCTCAAGTACGACAGTGTCGATGAAGTTCTGGCCGATGTGCGAGAGACCCTGGAACAGCACAGAGAGGTTCAAGATGTCCTGTCCAATAGCGTCGTAGATACTACTGCCAGCCAGGACGATGATCAGCTCGAAAATGAACTGCGCGCCCTGTGTGGTGAAACCCAAACCCAAGTCCCAGTTCCCCAGCGATCAAATGCAGCCGTGAGAAATAACAACGAGAGAGTTGATGTGGTAATTAGTGATCAAGAGTTGATGGAAATGTTGTCAAACCTTGAGGTTGAAGATGGTAGTGTCTCTCTATCGAGTACCAGAACCTTGAAACCACTGCAGGAGTCATAGAAGCACATAGATTAGGTCTATTTATTTAAGTTTCCACAGAAATCAATGTTTTATTTTATAAGTATGTTCGGTTTTTATTATAATTTGTATTAAGTTTCACTTTGGGCTTTCACTTTGTGTATTAAAAGAGATTCCACATGAAATGTACGTTTATAATTTGCTTTATTCTATTTTCATTCTGTACAAAATGCATCCTTATCATAGACTATGGCTTATGGCTATGGCTAGACAAATGTTTCCATAAGTAGGAATTCGAAAATACACGAAACATACATGCTCTAGGTATGTCTTATTGTTTCCTTTCCTATCCATTATAGTATCATATACAGAACGAGAAAAGTGTACATCCAATATATTGTAAGGCAATACAGCGAAATGCTTCGCATCGCCCGAAGTGCATGTGCTGCTCCCATACTCGTATCGTACTATGCTTTGCATTATCTATATATACATATATGTATAGGCGTATAAATATAAGAAATCCGAAGCACTTTTCAAAATGCTTCTTTGTTCTGGTTCGGCCTTTTTATATATATATATATATACTATATATACTTATATGTGTATAAATCTAATAATCACTAAGGCAAATTTGCGCTCCTATGTATTGCAGACACGCCATTCCCAGTCCCATAGGGTTTGTTATGTGTGGATTTGGAAAAGTATCAAAATACTTAAAATCGTACAGATAAAGCAGATCAGTACCGGCAGGATGACAATAAATCGAAGTGATCTGCAATTAAAACAAAAGCTAATTAGGTGAACGATGATTCTTCTTTCATAACGTTAAACGCACCTTCCCTGCCCTAGGGCCGGGTGTCAGAGATTCAGATCCATGTCAGCCTCAAGATCAATATGGTTTATCGAGTTGGCTGTACTATTGAAGATTTGATTATCGGATGTGCTGTTGTTGCCCGTTGGCCCCGCTGTGGTCCCGCTGATGTCTCCGCCCGTGCCTCGCTTCGATTTACCTAGCAGCCAGCAAGAGAACACTTTTTCCCAATTTTGCACATTAATTATCGCGAAGATGGATTTGAGTTTTTACATGAGAGATCAAGGAAATTATAAGGAAAGGAAAATCATAACAAGGCCCCGAAGAACCGCTCAAACTTTAATACAAACCGTCATCGTGAAGTCACAGATGCACACATCCTTTTTTCGAACACAAAAATACTTTTAAGTGTTTAAAAAACAATCAAAAATTGTGTAAGAAAAACTAGTCCGATTAGAGCCTGAACTTTGGTTTGGGGAATGTCTAGGCACACATCTTGGGATGTGGGATGTGGGAGAGATAGAATGAAGAGTGTGTGTGTGACCACTTACCTCCTGTAAAGCAAAGACAGCCCTCATCGTCGCTGGGCGAGTCTCGTCGCGAGCTCTTTAGCTTTACTTCCTTGCTCAGCTCGTTTAAACAGCGCTGATAGTAGTCGTAGTCCTTCAGATACCACACGGGTGGCCAGCGATGTTCCCGCAAATATTCTTGATTATCCTGATGCAGCGCCTTCAGACCCTTGAGTGAGAACTTACATATAATGTTGTAATTGACGCAGAGATACGACATGCACCATTCGGCCAACTGATGTGCGTTGTGCAGCTGAGAGGGAACGAGCGATTGATAATGGATTGGTCATTGGAGTGCTGCGTTACAGACCTTTACTGGCTCCAGCAACTTTAGGCAATGATCCACTGTTTCATTGGTTTCGTTCTGTGAAATTACTGTGAGATCCTCGATGACTCGGCACTCAACTAGATTGAGCAGACGCGGCAGGCATAATCGGTTGGCTAGCTCTAGCAGATTGAGACATTTGACGGCCGAAATAGGTGGAATCTGGTCAGTGTACAGATAGCACAGCAGCTTATGGAATGTGTAGATTGTAACGCCAGGGAATACGATCTAAAAAAGAGATACTTGAGCTTGTTAATACACACATATATGTCTATCACTACTGCATCCTCATCTAAGACTCTTACCACATTGGAATGGGCTTCGCGAAAGTCACCCAACAACATGGCGCGCATCACGTCGCACCGTCCAACCAGTACAGCCCTGTGTGCCTGTTAGTAGACAATATTTATGTTAGGCATATGTGCTCCAAATAGATATCCTCATTACCTTCATTAAACCATCATCCAACTCAAAGGTGACATCGCTGAAGCAGCCATCACCAATGCAATGACGCTCTAGACTTTCTTTGATGCGCTGAAATGGAAAGAGCGAGTTAAATGGTAATAAACATTATCATATGGCATCGCTTACAAGACAAATGTGCGGATTTGGATCATCACTGGAGGAACTGTCCATAACAGTTTGTGGCTTGCACAGAAGCTGCGTCAGTTGCGGCAGTTCTAACAGATCGGCTGCATCCCTTATTTCCTGTGGGTAAGCTCAATTGATTTAGAGCTTAGAGGCACAATGGTTGGCTGTCCTTACCTGCAGATTGTTGTAGCCCTTGTCAATGGTGCCCGTGTAAATAAATCGAAGGCATTGGTACAGAGCCTGGGGTGAGATGATCTTGCTGAGTGTCACAATTGTTTGCAGTCCGTTCACGCCGCGCTGATTCTCCACCTGCATCAGACGTATGCTCTGCAGCACAGGATGGTGCAGCTCTCTGTACAGATCGTTGGAATGCTTTGACTCTACCAGAGGCAGGGCCTGATAGCTAGAGCGTCGCTTCAAGTGTTCCCACATCCTATAATCAGTCGAATAGAAACGAAAGGATGTTAGCCCAGTCTCTAGATTAAAGAAGAACTAGCGGCACATACCGTTGTGTACGGGATTCGTAGCGTATAAGAGATTCCGTGTCGTCGTTAAAGTCCGCTATGGTCGCCTCTCCGAACGTTGAGCTGACCATACTCGATTCGCTGCTGCTGCGACCGCCCATGTCGCTCAGCTCTGTGCTCAGGAGACGCTGGAATGTACTGGAGGCCGCGGATAGCATAAACCGATGCACGGCAAACTTGGTTCCTCCTGCCCCCACCAGGATGAGGTCTGTGTAGGCTTGCGACAGGAACATGTTGTAGATGTCCTGCCGGTAGTGACCCACCATTACGGTCACCTCTGGTGGCGGCGGTTTTGGTGGCCGAAACGGTGCCTGCAGCAACGGTTTCTGCACCTTCTTCAGGTTCGTCATCCAGAAGCGCTGTTGACGCCGAGCAATCAACGCCGAACGGATGGCGTTCTCAAACACTTCATTGACACCAAAGTACGTAAAAACACTGGTCTCGTAGTAGGCAACACCCAGCTCCTTGGCCACAGCTCGTGCCTCGTCCGGCATGACCAGATCGCTCTTTAGTGCTGCCCTAAAACAAACAAACAAAGGCAGAAAGGGTAAGGCTTGGACTTGAGCTTGGGTTGTGCAGAATATCCTACCGTACAAAGGTGCCCTTTTCACCAAAATATGAGAGATAATTCTCATCGCGGTACATGTAACGCAGATCGTTCTTGCAGCCCACGAGTATCACGGGCACATCGGGACAGAAGCGTCGAATTTCCGGATACCACATAACCTTGCAGTTTCGCAATGAAATGGGGCTTGCAATGGAGAAGCACAGTAGCACCACATCGGATCTGGCAAAGAGAATCGCAATAGATTAGATACGCTCTGAAACGGAATAATTTTATATAATCGTTGACCCACCGTCCGTAAGCAAACCGTCGGTCTTTGTCATGATCGCCAAATGTGTCCCACAGCCGCAGCGAAACATTCACTCCATCGACCACCTCCCATGACCTTTCGAGTACCTTGATTGCAATAAAATAATTAGACGGGAACCACATACTATGATCTCTATTTACTATGTGGAACTTACGTCTTTGTATATGCGATACTGATCGATCGCCCACACGGTTGGTACATGGGTGGAAAGCAGCTGCGAGAGCGAAACATGCTTGTTGCAGGCTCGTGCACAAATAAGTCGCGTCTTACCCACTGCCGTGTCTCCCACCAGTACGCACTTCACCAGCTCTTGATGGGGCTGTTCGTTATCCATGTTGGACAGGAAGCCAACTGGAAATGTACTCCCACAACTAGACTCTGGACTATAAAATACAAATTAAATATTATTTTTGTATGTAAATATGCTATAAGTAGATACATAGTTTGTAACTTTAAATATTGGTTAGTTATTTTTCGCTGAACGAACAAAGAAATTCTAAAAAGAGATTGCCCTCTATTTTTATGAACATTTTGTTATGCGGAGTAGACGTTTTTTTCTTTTTCTTTTTTTGGTCTAATTTTATTAAGATAAGAAAATCAATTTTCGGCATATGCTAATCAAGTGAAACGCTGTACGGTAGGGTGTGCTTTCGTCACTAGAGCTATAATTTTGCGATTTCTGGTTTCGGTGCCTGTTTTTTAATGGAAACCAGTAAAAGGCGTACAGCAATCCACAATTAAGAATCTTTCTACACAGTACAATATTACTGTTGCTTTACAAATCGATTCAGATTGGTTAAATTCGAGGGCATATGCTAAGTTTTTATCCAACAATCTTGTGAACTCGAGATATGATAATTAATTAATTACACACAGACGCAGGTAATAACTCTAAAGTCCACGCTCTCAACTAGAGAAGTACCCAGGCATGTGTAAATGATCAACATTTGATGGAAAAAAGTACCTCAATTCAGTTGTGCATTGTTAGCACACTGGAGAAGAGATACGACACGCATTTTTTAATGATCTTGTTTTTAAAGCTACTTGAAGCATATCCTATGAAATGACAATGCGTTGACCCCCTCCCCGGCAAACTCTGGCTACCGTCCAAGCAGCTCTTGGTCTTTGGTCTTTAATTGAATTTAATTGAAACTGCAATAACAATTTCTGGGCTCAAATCTCAGCGACAAAGAGACCACACAACACACTGCATGTGTAAAGAAAATCTCCATTGTGCGGGGGGGAATCCGATCTTGAGATCGAGAGTTTCAGTCTATTTTTAGAATGGGAACAATGAAAATGAAACCAAACAAAGGAAGACGAAATCGATTCCGCTACGTTTTAACATTTTTGATCGTTTAAATAATTAAAGTTTATCAAACTTGGAGTTAATTGATTCGAATCAATTCGAAATGTAAAAAAAGCAAGAAGAACAAGCGGTAGGGCTTAACTTGATTTGTTTTTTTGTTTTTTTTTTTTGGCACAAT